GGGGAGAGGGGGGCGCAGGGGTGGTCGGGTGGGGGTGGGTGCTATGGCAACAGGAGCAGGCTGCTCCCGGGGACACGCTGCGGTGAAGTGGGCAGCTGCCCGCCCCGCCCCCACAGCTGTTCTCCACCTTCACCAGCAGGTTATCTGGAATAAAGGGTCTCGGCTGCCTCCCTCGAGGTTACGCGATGGCCAATGAGCTGCAGTGGGAAGCACAGTGGATGCTTTGCACGTCCTTCCTGTGCTGGAATGTGGATGTGATGGGTGGCACCTAAGCAGCCGCCTTGAGCCAAGAGGCAGCCGGTGGCCTGAGAGCCGGCTGACTCACTCCCCCATCGCCTGTGTCCCTGGAGCCGGAACCTCCTCCCCCGGTGACGGAGCACCGTCTGCCGCTGCCTGTCCCAAGATGAGCCTCGGCGCCCTGGGGGGTGGCCCATGGCCCGTCCGAGCTCCCGCCCGAGGGCCCTGCCAGGCATCCCGACACCGGGCGCCCAGCGCCTAGAAAGAGGCCCCGCGTCTGCCTCACTAGCGTGAGGCCGGCAGGTCAGTGTCCACGGTGCCTATCAGGACCATGAGTGGCAGGGACCCGTCTACACCGCCTCACCGTGCACAGCCTCGCCTGTCCCGGGGCCCCCGGAGCCCAGTCACTCACGCGCGGGCGAGAATGGTCCGCCAGCCTCCCAGGCGGGGTGCCCCAGCCCCGGCGCATCCTAGCTCCTGGGGGGGGGGGGGGCTACTCGTCAGATTCGGGGGCAGGTCGGGCAGCAGGCAGAGTCTGAGGCCACTGGGCATCGGCAGGGGTGGGTGGCTGAAGGGAGCTGCTCCCTGAAAACCTCCAGGGCCGAGACCCAGAGAGGCCCTGGCCTGGGAGGCCAACAAAGGATTTTTCAGGCCTCGTAAACCCCACCCCTCCCTGCTGCTCACAGCCCCGTTTCTAACAAAGCCTCCCCGAGCGTGTAGGAGCGGGCTCGAGTGAGGGCTGCACAGCTGAACCTGGGGAGCCATGCATGAGAGGAAGAGTGGGTGTCTGCAAGCACCCCATGCCAGGTCCATCCACCCATCCATCCATCCACCCATTCATCCATCCACTCATCCACCCACCCATCCATCCACTCATCTACCCATCCATCCACTCATCTACCCATCCATCCATCCTCCCATCAATCCATCCACTCATCCATCCACCCATTCATCCATCCACTCATCCATCCATCCATCCATCCATCCATCCATCCATCCATCCACCTACCAATCCATCCATGCATCTATCCAGACACCCATTCATCCACCCATCCACCCACCCATCCATTCATCCACTCATCCACCCATCTATCCATCCATCCACCCAACTATCCACCCATCCATCCATCTACCCATCCACACCCATCCATCCACCCACCCACCCATCGATCCACTCATCCATCCATCCACCCATCCTTCCATCCACCCACCCTCACACCCACTCACCCACTCACCCATCCACCCACCCTCACACCCACTCACCCACTCACCCATCCACCATCCTCCTGGTTCTCTGCGCTCATGGGAAACAGTACTTGTTGACCGATGGGCCTCGCCAACGTGTGTTGCCAACTTGCAGGCCCTGACCTTCGCTCCCACCATTTGCACTGATTCAATCTGCTCCAGCTCAAGTTCCTAGGTCCCAGCTCATCACTCGCAGCACCCGGGAGGCCGGTGGCTGGGCTGGTGTCGGTCGGGCTACGCCCACACTTTCGGCGGGTGTGTGCAGATGTGGCGTGTGGGGTGACAGGGACCCGAGAATCAATGTCCAGTGAGTGTGTCTGACAGCCGGCCTGCTGGGCGGTTTCCACGAGGCACTCACCCACACTCGCAGCGGCTCTGCTGGGAACGCACAACCACCACTGCCACTCCACAGAGCAGGAACCGAGGCTCCGAGAGGCTGAGAGCGTGCCACGGCCACACAGCCGGGGGTCGGTGAAGCTCTGGCCCCGCCCTGTGACCGCACATCAGCGTCCGGCTCCAGGTGTGTGTCCTGTGGACGGGCCCTGAGGCCGACCAGAGGCATCGAGTGCTGACAGGTGAGCTCGCCCCTGACCAGGTAACAACCCAGGACAGTCACTGCCCTCGACTCAGACAACAAACGCCCCCGGCCCCCGGGATGGACTGCGTGGCAGGAAGGAGGTGAAGGCAGGCGTCCACAGAATGTGGACGGGGGAGCAGAGCCCGGCCATGGCCACGCCTCCGCCCCGAGGCTGTGGACGGAGCTGTGCTCCCCCAGCTCACGGCTGAAGCTCGAGCCCAGCATGGCTGCCCGGAGACGGGCCTCGAGGGCGTAATCGGGGTTAAGCGAGGTTGTAGGGCGGCACCTGACCCTATGGGACTGGTGTCCTTGTCAGGAGGGGAGGGGACGCCAGAGCTGTGTGTGGCGGCCACGCGAGGGCACAGTAGGAGCGCAGGCCGTCCACAGCCGGAGGAGAGGCCACCCCTGGACAGACGCTGCCCACGCTGGGCCTGGGGCCTGCGCCTCCCGGACTGTGAGCCACCCGGGTCTGTGGGTTTTGTTGGTTTTTTATACCCTCAACCGAGGATATTTCCCATCGATTTGTAGAGAGTGGAAGGCAGAGGGAGAGAGACAGAGACATCAATGAGAGAGAGACACATCCATTGGTTGCCTCTTGCACATGCCCTGACCAGGGCCAGGGATCGAGCTTTCAATTGAGGTACGTGCCCTTGACTGGAATCGAACCTGGGAGCCTTCAGTCCACAGGCCGATGCTCTAGCCACTGAACCACACTGGCCAGGACACTGTGTGTGGTTTGAACCCCCACGGAGGTCATGTTTAATCACGGAAGACCACTGTAACCGGTCACCCGCCCATGTGGGGGTGAGAAGGTCCCCACCCCGAGGTTGAGCCACACCCCTTCCCTCCAGAACCCCAGGCTGCGGTGCGGCTGTGCAGGGCGACCTCGGACGCAGCTGCACATCCCATGGAGGCAGGAGGGGCTGTGAGGAGAAAGGGTGGCACCAGCATCCCTGGGTTGCCATGGGAACCAGGGCCAACCACCCAGCTGCTGCGGGGGGCAGAGTGGTGGGGCCTGGGTCCCTGAGCGTCACCGAGAACTGGAGCTCCCTGGGGAACCGGCAACGCCAGGCGGACCCGGCAGGCCTCTATTTCGGGGCTGGCCCGGCGTGGGAGGCGTGGGAAGCGGCATTTACAACACAAAGCAGCGCGCCCAGGCCGCCGGCTCCCCGTGCGCTTTCATAAAATGGCGTGAAAGAAAGAGGGTGGGCGCGTTCCTGCCACGGCGGCTCACACAACCAGGAGGCCTCGCTGACTTCAGTTCCCTGAGGGCCCCGCCCCGCCCCGTGGCTGCTGACGAACATCTCGGAGACCAGGCGGAGCCCCCGCCTACATGTTAAATGTCCCCACGGTAACAAAAACATCCTATTTCGCACCCGCCGCCTCTGTGCCGTCGCGCAGAGGGTGCGTGGCCATGTGACGACGGGACTTGTGTTCGCTAGCGGGACTCGGGGAGCCCGGCCCCGAGGGAGCCCCCAGACCCGACCGGAACGTGGTGGCAGCTCCCAGCGGCACTCGCCTCCGCCTCCGGGCAGAGCTCCGAGCTGGGTGGAGGCAGTCCGGGCAGCTGCCTCCCTGCTGAGCCTCCCCGCCCTCTGCGGCCACGGCATCCGACTCTCCAAGGCGGCCTGTCCCCCACACCCCAGGTCCGGCCGGCATACGCCACCACTCACCCCTTAGCCGCCGCTGCGCTCTGGCGGCCGAGGCACTGGTTAAGCAGCAGGAAAGCGCGCCAGGTCTGCACGTCTCCGAGGGCTGCCGGGCCGACGGGACTGGCCCTGGACAGCGGGGATGAGAGCCAGCGGCCCTCCATGCCCGTGCCTGCGGCTGGGGGCAGAGGCTCCGGGGCGAGAAGGGCAGGATGCTGCGCAGCCACCAGGCGTGGGCTTGTCCGCCCAGCAGCGGGCCCCGCCCCCGCTCACGCTCCCGCAGCGTTTCACCGCCACAGGAGGGGCCCTTCGGCCTCCTGGTCAGGGCAAGGCCGGTGGCCTCCTCTCCACAAACCCGCAGACCCGCGGACGCGCACCCTGTCCCGTGTGAGGGGCTGTCCCGGCCTCCGGATCCCGGACGCCAGGCGCACGGGGAGGGGCACGCGCGACAGATGGCAGTTCCCCGCAGGATGCGGCCGCTCGGGGCCCCCTCTCCGGTCTGAGTCGGCACAGAGGTGAGTTGCTGTGAACCGGACACACCCGTCTCCCGCGCCCAGAAACACAAAAGCAACGACTTCCCGTCCGCGACCCTGTGCAGGCACCCCCTCCGCCCGCGCATCACGGCACCTCCTTTCCGGTGGATGACCGACTCCGAGCCCTTTCGGGATCTGTGCTTGGGGCCAGCCAGGGGCCAGCCAGGGGCCAGTGGTCCGCACGGGGGACTCAGCGGAGCCAGGGGCCCGAGGCGAGTGTGGCAGCCCCGACGCCCGCGCTGAGCGGCTCCCACCCAGAGCCCGGGCAGCCAGGGGCCTGGCTGCTCTGACAAGACACCCGGGCTCGCCTTCCCCAACTCTCACGCTCTGCTCAGCACCACCAGGCAGGTGGCCTCTCAGCCTCTCCGTCGATTTGACCCCTCGGCCCCAGGTTTAAAAGGTCCCAGCAGGGCCCCCTAGGGAGCCCCAGAGCCGGACACAGCTCCCTTCGAGAACGCCGGCCGCTTTGAGCTATTTTTATAGAGACGTGGGCGCCTGTTTGCGAGGTGGGCACCGGAGACCACAAGGGAGCTGGAGCAGGTGCCCTGGCACGGGCACCGCACAGCCTCCTCCGTACACACTCCATGCACCACCGCGCACTGTCTCTGGTCCGGACAGAGCCCGCGGGACTGCACCCACCTGCGGGCCCTTGTTCTGAGCTCAGTCCCTCCGGAACTGCACTCCCGCCGGCTCCCCCACACGCGCCGCGGACCCGCCGCCCCTCGGACCGCCGCCCGCCCGGCCACAGAGGCGCCTCACCTGCCTGGCTGTCCCGGGGCCTGCCCTGCACCTCCTCCACGCACTCGGCCGGGAACCATCCGATGTGGCCGCGGGCGCTGCCTTCCCAGAAGCCCCCTTCGCCGATGCTCAGGACTGGAGACAAGGACAGGACAGGACGGCGTTAGTGGGAGGGGCCGGGCTGGGAGGGCCTGGGTTAGTGGGTGTGGGGGGCTGATGACAGCCAGGCCTGGGGGGTCAGCAGGCTGGCGGCCAGGCCCGGGGTCAGCAGGCCGGCGGCAGGCTCTGGCCCATCGACCTGTGCCGGGACCTCTGCCAGCACAGCTTCTCCGGGAGGCCTCCGGTTTCCCTCGACGCCCCAGGCGTCCCCTCCCTGCGCTCCCCAGGAGAGTCCTGTTCCACGTGGGCGCTGTCCCCTAACACAGCGGGGACACAGAAGCTACGCCCCGAGAATGGCCTGGAGCCTCACTCTGCTCCCTCCTGCCTGGGGCTCCGAATCTCCCACAGGGGCCTCACCCCAAACTCGCCCCAGAAGCAGAGGAGGGCCTGGACACTGACCTTTGACCCTGTCCCCACGGTGGAGGGGGATCTCGCCGTCGACCTGGGGTTGGTATGGCTTGACGACGACGAAGAGCCTCCCGGGCACCGCGCTGTACAGCTTCCGCTTGGGCCCCGGGTACGGGAAGGCGGAGGGCGCGTCCTTGTTGGCTCCGGGCGGGAAGGCCGGCCTGCGAGGGAGGAGCAGAGGGGGGTCACGGCTGGTGACAGAACAGGGCACACGCAGACCTGCAGCCAGCTGTTCCCAACGACGCCCAGTGGCCAGCAGTCCCATCGCAGCTCCGGCCTGAGCTGGGGCTAAAGACGAGCAAGGGCCCTGGGGCAGCGTTCAAGCTTAAAAGACCGAAGCAGATCCAGGAACCCCACCTGGGCGTGTCCCCACGGAGTGCGAGCAGGGACCCTCACCGGCCTCTGCGCACCCACGTTCACAGCCGCCTGAGTCACGGCAGCCACAACGTGGGAGCAGCCGCGTGTCCGTGGACGGAGGGCGGAACCCCGCATGCGGCCCATCCACGCAGACTATTACGTAGCCATCACAAAGAAGGGCGTTCTGACACCTGCTCCCGATGGAGGGGCCGTGAGGGCGTTACACAGAGTGAACAGGCCAGACACAGAGGGACGAACCCCGTGTGGTTCCCTCGTAGGAGGCCCTCAAACGTCAAGTTCACAGTAGGAAGTAGGTGGTGGATCCTGAACGCTGGGCGGGGCAGGGAGGCCCTGAAGGGAGGGGAGAGGGCCGGGCGGGGCAGGGAGGCCGGCTGACAGGGGTCACCAGCAGGGGGTGCTGGCTGGGCCCGGACAGCTCCCCTGGTTGGGACAGGCAGTGGCCCACGTGTAGGGGGCTGTCCGCCCTGGGGTTAGCAGCGGGCACACGGGATGTATTCCTGCATCCGGGCGAACCAGAGGGTCAGTTGCTCTGCCCACAACCTGTTACAGAGGGAACGGGCCCGGTCCCTACCCAGCCTGGACGTGGATTTGAGCTTCACCCGAGGGCCAGCGTGGACCAGCACTGCCTCTGTGCGAGGCCCCCTGGACGCACTCACGGGTCCGGGAAGACCCTGGGGAGCAGGCTCTCCATGACCCTCACCTCACAGGCGCCAGAGATGAGCCCCAGGGCGGCCCCGGCCCGGGGGGGGTCCAGGCCACGTGCCAGGGAGCCCTGGCGTCGGCACTCAGGGCAGGCTGGCTGCTGTGATTCTCACACACACACAGCGCATGAGCACAGACACACACATGCAACACAACTGCATGCACATGCACACAGTGCATGAAAACACACATACACACACGACACAAATGCATGCACACACAAAAGTATGTGCAACCACATGCACACACAGTGCCTGCATACATGTGCACAGTGCTTAAACACACAAATGCATGCACACATACACACAAGAACATACAGACATGTGCACACGGTGCATGAAAACACATGCACATGACACAAATGCATACACAGCACACACACAAGTACGTGCACACACGAGTGTATGCACACACCGTGCATGAAAACACGCATGTGTACAGCACAACTGCATACACACAAGTATATGTGCACACAGGGTATGTACACACCATGCATGTACACACATGTGCATGCAACGCCGTGCACGCACTTGTGAACACAAATGTGCGCCCATGCATATAGAAACGCTCACAGAGAAGCACAAAGACACGTTCACATGCACACACAAGTGCACACAAACACACGCACATACACCCACACGCACAGGGACACTCAGGCGGGGCCCGTCACAGGCCCGCTGCTGCCCTCGCTCCGCGAGCCGTGTTTGGTCTGCCGCTGCCGCAGGCCCCGCACGGCGCCCGTGGGAGCTCACTAGCGCTCGCACGGAGGAAGGGGACGCGCTCCTGAATCACAGCCGTAATCCCAGCGAGGGGTGCGAGAGGGGTTTCCTGCCTCGGGGGGACCCTTTCACTCAGCTTTGACCCGTTCTTAGCACCGGGGACGTCTCCCTCGAGGGACTCAGTCAGAATCTAGACCCAGCCGCCCGCATGCCCCGCGTCCCAGACCAGCCGTGTGATGTGCGAGGTCCTCCTCTCGCCGGTCCCCACAGAGCCCCGACTCCACACCCTCCCCGCCCGCCCCGCCTGCCTTACCCCACGTGCCACGGCTGCAGGGGCCTCTTGCCATCCTCGCTGGCGCCGCCGAGCCGGTTGAGTGACGGCGAGCGGCTGCGGGGCCCGGGCACGTAGCCGCCCACAGTCCGCGGGCCCCCGTCGGCCTGGCCGGGCGCGGGCTGCAGCAGCTGCGGCGAGAGGCTGCGGTGCGAGGCGGGGCCGGCGGCCCAGTCGGGCGCGTTGGCGTGGAGGTTGTTGTCGCTGTTGGAGCGCAGCAGGACGCGGGGGGCGGCCAGCGTGCTGGGGGCCCGGCGCCTGCGGTTGGTGTAGGCCGGGGCCTCTCGGAAGGGCACTGGGGGGAGAGAAGGGGGAGGCCGTGAGCACGTGGCGCCGTGGCCTCGAGGGGGCGCACACGAGCCGAGCGGAGGGCGCCGTGAGTTCTGTGAGGCCCCGCGGGGCCCTGGACAGAACGCACCGGCACAGAAGCACGGACGGGAGACGGAGCGTGTCCGCGTTACACGGAGGCTCAAGCTCAGCGGCAGATGGAAGGGATGTGGGTCCGGCTTCCATGCGGCCTGTGAACAGGGGCGCACCCTGAAGCAGCGCAGACACGTGTGAGGACGTGGCCGTCTCACCACGTGGCCAGGACACGGAGCAGCCACAGAGTCCCTCCCGCAAGACCTGGCCCCGGGATGGGCTGAGGGGTCCCCCCCTGATATCCAGGTGTTGGAACCCGGACCCCCGAGAGCTCAGAGCGTGATCCTATTTGGAGACGGGTCTTTAAAGAGGTGACTGAGGTACAGTGAGGCCACGGGGCGCCCCTGACCCAGTGTGACTGGGTCCTCAGGAGAAGAGGGGACCAGGACACGACACCCAGAGGGGCCCTGTGGGACCCGGGGAGGAGGCGGTGTCCACACGCCCGGGAGAGAGGCCTGGGGAGGAGGCAGCTGGGTCTTGGGCTCCGGCCTCCAGGACGGGGCAGTGTCGGGGGGACACTGGCCAGTGGCCCCCGGACAATGACGCGGCCTCAGACCTGCCGGGTGGAATTAGCCAGCTCCAACCCCAAGCATGCTCCTCCCTACGCCATAGACGGGGACCCAGCAGCGTGAAGGGGGAGGGGACCCTCGCCTGGCTTCTTCCTAAGCTCAGACCAGAGGCAGGGCCCGCAGGGCCCAGGGACTCAGCGGGACACTGCCCCCGGGAGGGGGACGGGATGGGATGGGGAGGGACTCAGGAAGGGGAGACAGGAAGTGTCCTTCCCAGAAAGCGGCATCTACAGAAGAGCAGCCGTCCAGGCGGGGCGGTGGGGAGATAAGACGCCAGTGACCCCGGCCGCAAGGGGCACGGCTTCCTTCGCGCCCGACGCCCCGGCAGCTTTCCCGCCGCCACACGCCTGCAGGCTGAGCCCGGGCGCTCTCCCACGGGCGGGCACAGGCTCCCGCATCTCACGGGGAGGAACGGCTCCAGGCGCTCAGCACAGAGTCCTGGACGGCCCCCCTCCGCTGCCCAAGCCCGAGGCTGCGGGGAGCAGTCCGCACCAGCCTGCGTGATGCCCTGCTGCCAGCCCCGCCCACAAGGACACCAGAGCTCGGGGGACAGAGGTGGCGCCGGCAGAGGCAGCAGAGACGGCTGTGAGCCATGCACCCTCGCCACCTGCGGGGGGGGGGGGGGTGGCAGGGCCGCCTGGGGGGCAGAGGGGGAGGCCCTGGGGGGCGCTCAGAGGCAGGGGATTCCTGAGGACGCACAGGGACGGAGCTCACGTCCTGGGGGCAGCGAGGAGACCTGGGAGGGACCCGTGGGAGTCACTCTGCTTCCTCCCACAGCCTCTGCCGGGGGAAACGCCCACTGAGGTGGTGGGAGGGGGGCCAGGCTCCCCGCCAGAACCCCATCCACATGACTCCCCAGCGCAGGACCTGGACGCCTGCTGCCTGGAGGGCGGCCCGGGAAAGGCTGGTCGTCTGTGGCCCTGTCCCGGGGCCGGAGGCGTCAGCCAAGGCCTCCCCACTGGCCAGACAGGTCTTGTTCGGGGGAGTCCCCCAGCGTGTGCCTTGCTGGTCGCGAGGGAGAACACACGGCGTTGCTGTCTCGGGGCAGCCGGGCCGGAGGAACCGTGGCCGCCGCCTCGCGTGGCCGGTGCAAGTGGCGGCTGTGGGTGGCGAGGCCTGCCGGGCACAGGTCTGCGGACCGGAGGCCACAGCGAGCCGACACCTCCCACAGGTGGGCAGAGAAAGTGGCCACAGAACCCCAGCCCCTGAGGCCTCCCGGCCCGGCCCACAGCGGCAGGGCTCACGCCAATGCGGGGAGGGGACCCCGGCTCCAGGGGGCACCCCCAGACCCGGAAATGCCTGCCTCTCTCAACCCCCAGCTCCCAGGGCGGGCAGTCACGTCTGCTCTCTGACCTATGTCGCTGGGAAGGGGTAACGCCCTTCACAGAAGGGGGCACGGGGCGGGGGGGCACCTGCTCGCGCTCAGACGGACTCAGAGGGGAGCGACGTCTATGAAATAAGGGCATAGACCAGAGAGCACCTCACACCACCATCCCCAGCCCAGGGCCCCACACTGGCAGGGCTCAGGTGAGCGTCGACCTAGGAACCAGGAGGTCCTGGTTCAGTTCCCGGTCAGGGCACAGGCCTGGGTTGCGGGCTCGGTCCCCAGTGGGGCCGTGCAGGAGGCAGCCGGTCCGTGATTCTCTCTCACCATGGATGTTTCTCTCTCTCCCTCTCTCCCTTCCTCTCTGAAATCAATAAAAAATAAAAATAACTAAAAGGTCCCCGCACTGGGGTGGGTCACAAACACGGAGTGACTGGGTTACTCATGCGAGAGACAAACACGGACACAGGATTCCCACGGCACAGGCTGCGGGGCGTCCGGGCTGGAGGCTGCGGGGCCCCCGGGGGAGGGCCGGCCGCCTGGGAGATGAGGGGACGGAGCCCGGGACCTTTTCAGGTCGGTCCTGCCGGGCGCCAGCGAGTCTCTGAGGGGACGGACGGACGCGCACAGGTGGGGGGGGAGGGGCTCACTCTGTCACCGAGACCCATGGCACCAGCGTCCCTGTCTCCGCCGCCTATTTCACAGCCTCCCCAACTCCTCTGAAGCACCCCAATCTTCACCAGCCTGCCCAGCCCCAGCCTCTCCTCTGACGGGCTCCCTGGAGGGCGTGTGTGCGTGTGTGTGTGCATGTGCATGCATGTGCGCGTGTGTGCGCGCGGTGTGTGTGCATGTGTGCGCGTGCGTGTGCGTGTGAGAAAAGGGTTAAAAACACCTGCTTTCCCGCCTGGCAGCGATTCCCATCCCCCGCGGCTTCCTCCTCCCGGGCGGGCGGCCCGCGAACTCTACCTGGTGGGGCTCCCCTCCCCGTCCTCCTGGCACTTATTACACGTTTCTGTCCCCAATAAAAATTACACTTTCCAAGTCCTCCGCGAGGCGTCCCCACCCCTGCCACTGCCGCCCGGGAGCCCGCTGTGCCCCGCGTGTCCTGACCTCCCCGTCCTGGGCTCACCAGCCTGCGGGCAGCGGGCAGACTGGAGCCCCAACTTCCCTTGTTTCCCTGGAACTTAGTTCCGAACGTGCCCCGGGCGCCGTCTCCGGGCTGCACGCTCTGGAATGCGGTCCTGCCAGGGACTGGGACTCGGGGACAAAAATACAACCGGCCGCGCGGTCAGGGGGTCGCCACGCCAGACACGGGATGGAGCCCGCCCAGCGGATGCGGTTACGCCCTCACACGGGGCGAAGGACCAGCAGTTCCAGGAGGAGCCGGGCGCCCCCCCACCGCCCCCCCAGAACCCGCGCGAAGGGCTCCCCAGGCACCGCGTGCCCGCGGCTCTGGCTCCTCTTACCTTCCCTCTTGCTGAAGGCATTTAACAAAGACTTCATCTTCCCTCCGGCTCGGGCCGCCCGCTGCTCATTATATAACCTTCTCGGCGGGGGGACAGGCGAGCAGCGCCATCCGGCCCCTGGGCGCCGGGGCAGCCTGGACCCGGGGCGCGGCGGCGGGCGTCTGGGCACGGCGTGCCTCCGGGCATCGCTGGGCATGCCAGCCCCGGCGCGCCGCCGCCAGAGCCCACCCCATAGTCTGCCTGTCCGCTGGGAGCCGCTCAAGCCCGGCGGCCTCTCCCCGCGCCCGTCATGTGAGCGCCGCTACCCTGCCTTTGTGATCCGCGCGGCGCGGGCGGGGGGAGCAGGGGCCGGGCATCCTCGGGCATCTGCCAGCCGGAGCCGGGGATCCCAGGGAAGCCGGCCGGTGCCCGGGCCACGGCTGCTCCCACGCGCACTCGGCGCACTGTCGGCACGCACGGCGCTGTCCTGGCTGATTTTCCTAGAAAAAGCCAAGTTCCCTTTGGAAGTGCCGCGTGCTCGGCGGCGGCAGGGGCAGCGAGCGCGTCGGAGGCTGAAGCAGCCCGTGCGGAGCCTCACGCGGGACCGCGCTCTGGGCAGCCCGCCCGCCTCCGGAATCTGCCGTGACCCAGATTTCCCTTCAAAGGGCTCAGCCACGGAGCCGTCCCTCCCCTGGCTCAGCCCCACGGCGGCGATTCCCCTGGAGAAACCAGAACCCCCCTTTAAAGGGAGATGAGACAATTAGACGGGCGGCGCGCCCTGATTCCGGCGGCGGATTAATGAGCGTCCTCACGGTCACATTAGCATCTCCACCCGGCAGGATCCCGGAGGGAGGGGGGGCCGGGAGGGACGGAGGGGGGCCAGGAGGGAGGGAGGGGGGCCAGGAGGGACGGAGGGGGGCCAGAAGGGACGGAGGGGGGCCAGGAGGGAGGGAGGGGGGCCAGGAGGGACAGAGGGGGGCCAGGAGGGAGGGAGGGGGGCCGGGAGGGACGGAGGGGGGCCAGGAGGGACGGAGGGGGGCCAGCAGGGACGGAGGGGGGCCAGCAGGGAGGGAGGGGGCCAGGAGGGAGGGAGGGGGGCCAGGAGGGACGGAGGGGGGCCAGGAGGGACGGAGGGGGGCCAGCAGGGAGGGAGGGGGCCAGGAGGGAGGGGGGGGGGCCAGGAGGGACGGAGGGGGGCCAGGAGGGACGGAGGGGGGCCAGGAGGAAGGGAGGGGGGCCAGGAAGGACGGAGGGGGGCCAGGAGGGACGGAGGGGGGCCAGGAGGGAGGGAGGGGGACCAGCAGGGAGGGAGGGGGGCCAGGAGGGAGGGAGGAGGGAGGGGGACGAGAGCTCTCCCCGTAACACACACCGACAGGCAGGACGCCTGGGGCTCAGGGCAGTGGCAGGGTCACCCCTGAACACTAACGGGGCACTGGGGGCCGGGCTGCACCGCCCGCGCGTCTGTTGCTGGGCTGTGATTAAGCGTGCGGGTTCCTGTTGCTAAGAGAACTGCTTCCCAAATTAGAGAGAGAGAGAG